TCGGGGGGGCCGAGGTCGCGCGCGATGGCGCTGGGCCTAGAATGGCTGCCGCGCGAGGGGGGCCGGGGGGCGGGCGACCCAGTGACGTGATGGCGTCGGACTTCGACGAGCCCCTCAGTTATCCACGTGGCGGCCGCGGACCCGGAGCGGCGCGTGCTCGACGAGATGGCGCGGACCTCCTGGGGGCTCTGCGTGTCGACCGCCGAGGAGACGACGGCCGCCGAGGGCAGGGCGCCCGCGGCTGGGCGCGGCCAGCGGGGCCGCGGGCGCACGCGCCTGGCGCCGCGGTGACGGCGCCGCTCAGCGCGTCGTTGACGGCGCCGCTGGGCGCAGCTGGAGGTGGCGGCATCGGCGCGCGGGCCCCCGTGCGACCTGCAGGGGCGGGGTCCCAGCGCGAGGTGCTTTTGGTGGCTCGGACCTCCCCGCCATGGATGGGGGGCCCCTCCCGACCCCGCATTCCCTCGCTGGGGGCGCTGCGGCCACCCCCCTATGCGCGGTGCGGTGCGGCGGGGGGGTGGCGATGCAGGCGTGTCGGGGCGTGGGGGGCGAGGTGCGGCGGGCGGCCTCGCCGCTCGCGGCGTTCGGTGGGTGGCCCCGGGGACCGAGTCCCCCGCGCCTTTGGGCTGCCGCCCCCTTCCTCATTGGTGACCCATTTCCATCGCTGAAGGGGGGGTCAATGTCCTGGGAGTGGCTCGGGCCCCCGAGCAACTGGGCACCCGTCCCCGCCGCCCACCGACGTCCCTTATTTTAAACCGCTACGCTCCGCTTGTAGGGTCATTCGATTCTGCGCCCCCGTGTGGCAATACGAACGTGTGACCTTTTTCACCGTGCCCGATGCCTGTGGCCACTTGGGTTCAGGTTCTCCGTCGGGTTTGAACAGCCCACCCACCGCCCCGGGGCATCAAGTTCCTGGGACTTGCTCGGGTCCCTGCGCGACAGGGTCTTCGTTTTCTGCCGTTTGTATGAGAGCAATATATTTCACCCGTCTTCTTTCCCATATCCTGAGTGAAGTTTTTGTTTTCCTGGGGCGCCCTCTCCTTCTCCTTCTCCCTCTGCCTCTTCCCCCCTGCGAAACTGCTCTTGTTACTCATCGCGGCCACAACAACTATCATTACTACTACTACAACTACTACTACTGGTACTGCTGCTAGTAGTTCTACTACTACTACTAGTGCTACTCCTATCGCTACTGCCTTTTCTTACGATTACTACTATTACTGCTGCTGCTGCTCCTGCCATTTTTCATGTTTTTTTTGTTTGTTTGTTGTTTAGTCTTTTTTCTTTATTTAAAGGGAAAAATCAGATCTGATGCATTCCTACGACTACTGTTACTGCTGCCGCTCTTCCTCTCGCGGTTCCGATTGCTATTAGTAATGTGGCGCGTCGTATTACCATTACTACTTCTACTATTATGATTACTTCTACTACTACTGCTACTACTACTACTGGTCCTACTATGAGTATTATTATTATTCCTATGACGATTCCTACCACGAGGGCGGCTATTTGTATTTCTGCCATTACTCTTACAAGCGCAACTGGTACTAATACCACTACTCGTGTTATTCATTCTTACTACTACTACTATTATTACGACTACTACGACTACTACGACTACTACTACTACTACTACTACTACTACTACTACTACTACTACTACTACTACTACTACTACTACTACTACTACTACTACTACTACTACTACTACTACTACTACTACTACTACTACTACTACTACTACTACTACTACTACTACTACTACTACTACTACTACTACTACTACTACTACTACTACTACTACTACTACTACTACTACTACTACTACTACTACTACTACTACTACTACTACTACTGCTATACTAACTACTACTACTACTACTACTACTAAGTAGCACGTAACCTACTACTGCTAGTAGTAGTAGTAGTAGTAGTAGCAGTCGTAGCAGTAGTAGCAGTAGTAGTAGTAGTTCTCGTAGCAGTAGTAGCAGTAGTAGCAGTAGCAGTAGCAGTAGCTGTAGTAGTAGTAGTAGTAGTAGTAGTAGTAGTAGTAGTAGTAGTAGTAGTACTAGTAGTAGTAGTAGTAGTAGTTGTAGTAGTAGTAGTAGTAGTAGTAGTAGTAGTAGTAGTAGTAGTAGTAGTAGTAGTAGTAGTAGTAGACTACCACTACTACTATATTACCATTACTACGAGCTACTAGTACTACTACCACTACTACTGCTTCTGCTGCTGCTGCGGCTGGTAGCTTTTCTTATACTCACGATCACTAGTCTTATGTTTGCTACTGGTTTTGCATATTTTCCCAGTATTGTTTGTATTTTTCGTATGATCATTTTTTTTTCTCCTTGGTCCTGTTCTTATGATTCTCACTACGACTACTACACTTACTGCTAGTATTATTACTACTACTACCCCTGCTACTTAATACTAGTTTTAGTATTTCCACTTCTACTACTAGTACTAATACTACCACTACTATTACTAGTACTAGTACTAGTACTACTACTACTACTATTACTACTATTACTACTATTACTTCTACTATTATTACTACTACCACTACTACTACCACTACTACGTTTACCAGTATTTTCACCACTACTACCACCACTACTACTACTACTACTGCTACTACTACTACTACTCGTACTACTACTACTACTACTACTACTACTACTACTGTTATTACTACTACTACGGCTATTACTATTACTAGTATTATTACAACTACTAGTACTATCACTATTACTACTCCCATAACTATTACAATTCCAATTCCAATTATTATTACTATTACCATTACTAGTACTAGTACTAGTACTAGTACTAGTACTAATCCTATTCCTATTACTATTACTGTTACTGTTACTATTACTATTACTATTACTATTACTATTACTATTACTATTACTATTACTATTACTCTTACTCTTACTATTACTATTACTATTACTATTACTATTACTATTACTATTACTATTACTATTACTATTACTATTTCTATTACTATTACTATTACTATTACTATTACTATTACTATTACTATTACTATTACTATTACTATTACTATTACTATTACTATTACTATTACTATTACTACTATTACTATTACTATTACTATTACTATTACTATTACTATTACTATTACTATTACTATTACTATTACTATTACTATTACTATTACTATTACTATTACTATTACTATTACTATTACTATTACTACTTACTATTACTATTACTATTATTAAAAACTATTAGTACTATTACTATTACTATTACTAGTTATATTACTATTATTACTATTACTATTATATTATTACTATTACTATTACTATTACTATTACTAGTTACTATTACTACTATTATTACTATTACTATTACTATTACTATTACTATTACTATTACTATTACTATTACTATTACTATTACTATACTATTACTATTACTATTACTATTACTATTACTATTACTATTACTATTACTATTACTATATACTATATTATTACTATTACTATTACTATTACTATTACTATTACTATTACTCTTACTATTACCTATTCCCTTACTATTACTACTATTACTATTACTATTACTATTACTACTATTCCTATTCCCATTACTATTACTACTACTACTTCTACTACGACTACGACTACTACTACTACTACTACGACTGCTGCTAGTGCTTGTGCTACTACTACTACTACTACTACTACTACGACTTGTACTACTATTGTTATTTCTATTACTACTAGTACTACTAGTCTTACTACTACTACTACTAATCCTACGACTACTACTACTACTGCTATTACTAGTACTGCTGCTGCTACTACTACTACTACAACTACTACTACTACTACTCCCACTAGTACGACTACTACCACTACTAGTAGTAGTAGCAGTAGTAGTAGTACTACTATTACTACTAATACTACTACTACGACGACTACAACAACAACAGCTACTACTACTACAACTACTACTACTACTACTACTACTACTACTACTACTACTACTACTACTACTACTACTACTACTACTATTACTACTGTTACTACTACTACCATTACTACTACAAAACTACTATCATTATTGGTGCCATTAGTACTCGGCCCCGCATGAGCGAGGAGGGCATCGGAGTCACCCATTGTTTATCAGATGTCGTGGTCTTTTCCACCGCTAAGGTTTCGTGCCCCTCCCACCGCTCCACGGAGGCACCGCCAGAGCGAGGAGGGTACCGGAATATTTTTTCAGTTTTCGTGGCCCTCCCACCGCTCCAGGGAGGCTCCGACGATATCAGAACACCATATTGTTGATCAGGGTTTGGTGCCGCTCTCACCCCTCCACGGAGGCCCTGCCAGAGCGAGGAGGGTATCGGAGTACAATATTATTTATCAGTGGTCGTGCCTGTCCCACCTCTCCAGGGAGGCCCTGCCAGAGCGAGAAGGGTATCGGAGTACCATATTGTTTATCAGGTTTCGTGCCTTTCCCACCGCTCCAGGGAGGCCCTGCCAGAGCGAGGAGGGTATCGGAAAATAAATAAATGTATATATACATATATACATGTACGTATGTATGTATGCATGTATGTATGTATGTATGCATGCATGTATGTAAGTATGAATGTATGTGTGTGTATATATATATATATAAACAAACGGTGTTCGTGGCCCTCCCACCGCTCCGGGGAGGCCCCGCCAGAGCGAGGACTGTATCATAACATTATACTATTTATCAGGTGTCGTGCCGCTTTCACCCCTCCAAGGGGACCCCGCCAGAGCGAGAAGGGTATTGGAGTATCCTATGACGTAATAGGTGTGGTGCTCCTTCCTATTATCATGGGTCCTCTATTTCTTCCTCCCCTTCCATGCTAATTTACCTCCTTGCCTTGGTCGGCCCTTCCGTGACTGTATCTGTACGTCCCGGGTCTTCGGGTTTTGTTCTTGCTCTTTGTGCCCCCTTGATCCCGTTAGCCCCGTAACATTTTCATGTGGGGAAAGCCAGTAGCAGAATGTTTCCACCATCGCACCGCTTGTAGGGCCATTCGAAGATAGTGCTCCTTATCCGTAAGGGCTTCGCCCCCTGCCGCCGGCCCCCTCTCTCGGAGAATGGGCCATGGAAGAGCTAAGTCATGAGGCTTTGGCGCTGTCGTGCAGCAGTATCGGAACTTCATGCGAGGCCGATTCGCAATCGGCAAAACCAACTGATCACAAGAGGGGTTACCACACAGGGCGATTGGTAAGACGTGTATGGTTTACGAGCTTGGTTACCACACCTTGGGATTAAAGGGCCGAGGGAGTACTCGCAGTTTGGGTTACCACGCCTTGCGATGGATGTGCGTGAGGGGTGGCACCGAATTTCAGAAATGTGCCAAATCCCCTGTGTTTTTGGACCCTGACCCCGCGGGTCTGCGTAAGGGGTGACACCGAATTTCAGAAATGTCACAAATCCGTTGTGTTTTTGGACCCTGACCCCGCGGATCTGCGTGAGGGGTGGCACCGAATTTCAGAAATGTAGCAAATCCCTTGTGTTTTTGGACCCTGACCCCGCGGATCTGCGTGAGGGGTGGTGTCGAATTTTAGAAATGTGGCAAATCCCTTGTGTTTTTGGACCCTGACCCCGCGGATCTGCGTGAGGGGTGGCACCGAATTTCAGAAATGTGGCAAATCCCATGTGTTTTTGGACCCTGACCCCGCGGATCTGCGTGAGGGGTGGCACCGAATTTCAGAAATGTGGCAAATCCCATGTGTTTTTGGACCCTGACCCCGCGGATCTGCGTGAGGGGTGGCACCGAATTTCAGAAATGTGGCAAATCCCCTGTGTTTTTGGACCCTGACCCCGCGGATCTGCGTGAGGGGTGTCGATTTCGAGCCCCCCCAGCAATTTAGACAACGCGCCCAGGTGGTGCTAAAAATCTGGTTTGGGCCTCCCTCCCCTCGCGCGGTCAATCAACTAGTTACAGTAACCAGCAAGAAGCAGAACTGTAATATTGGAAACTACAAACGACGACTGGTACAGGAAACTGCGAATCACGGGCCTACAGCCTGGTGGCCCCACAAGGGGGCCGGCGGATTCTTCTGCTTCTGTTTCAGCAGGGGTCTCGCTTCCGAAGTGGCATTCGTGGCCCCGCGCCCATGCCTCGATCTGAAGTTGCGCGGGGTCGGCGTGGCGGTGGCGCAGCCGCGAAGACCCAGGCTTCCGATGCCTTGACCCTGCTGCGTGTTCTGACTGTGGGCCCCGTTCCGTGACGGCTGGGCCTCTCTTCCCAGACCGCTGTCAGAGGGCCGTGGAGCCCGAAGGCGGGCCCACGTCCGAGAGTGGAGGAAAGTGCCGCCCTGGTTTTCCCAAGACATGGCGCCGGATGCCTGGGGCAGTCGATGCGGCCGTGGTGCCCTCCTGGCGGGTGCGGCCTTCCATCTCGCACGCACCGTGGCCGTAAAGTGGCCGCGAGCGCGAGGGAACAAAAGCAGGGAGGTGGGTGCGTCTCGGCCGCGGGCGGGTAGCCGGCTGGTCACCCGTGGGGGTTGGCCAGCCTCGAATCCCGCCTGTCCAGAGCGGGGCTCTCTTTCTTCTCTCTCGCCTCAGTTGATCTCCGTCTTCCCTCCGCCTTCCCCCGACACTTCTTCATCCTTCCTCCTTTTCCTCTCCTGCTCTCCCTCTCTGTCTCTCGTCTCCCTCCCTCCCTCCCTCCCTCCCTCCCTCTCTCTCCAGATCCCTCTTCCCCGCTTTCCCTACTTTCTCCTCCTCCTTGCCCCTCCGTCCCCATCCTCTCCGTTCCCCCTCTCCCCTCACGAGAGGTGAGTAAGCAGGAGCGGGCGAGCAGTAAGAGGTGGGCAGGAGAAGGATGAGGATGACGATGCGGGCGAGGAGGAGGAGGAGGAGGAGGAGGAGGAGGAGGAGATGGATGAGGACCCGCGCAAACCCAAGATGCATCAGCGATCCTGCAATACGCCCTCCCGTCTCCGATCCCCCCTCGCGAGTGGCCTGCAGTGGTTCCTTTCCGCTGCGGGGAGCGCCCTCCTTGCACGACGAGCGGCCAGTGGGCCTGCCGCTCGGGCGAGATCCCCTGTGGCAGAGGATCGACCCGCTCTCCGCCCTCGTGGCGCAGCGAGGTACGGTGATGGTGTTCAGGGAGGTGTGTATGGTGATGGTGCTCAACGAGGCATGGTGATGGCGCCAAGAGGCACGTGCAAAGAGGCATGGTGATGGAGTGCAGGGAGAGTGCGCGGCCATGCCCATTCTTCTTTTTGGGACGGATGTGGGGCTCCAGAGGTCCGCGGGCCCCCAGAACTCTCCGGCGACCTCCAGGGGTATCCGAAGGCCCAAACAGTTTCTGGTTGTGTTTTTTCCCAGCAGGGCAAGGCCACCAAATCATCTGACAATTGTATGCCTGATGTGATCCGGACTGGGCGTGTCACAGAGAACCTCTTGCAGGGTCTCCCTTTGGAGCGGCAGCGTCGACCTGGACAGGTTTGGAAACATTATGCAAAATTATGCCAGCAGACGCGTGTTCCAGACAGGAGGCTATTTGGCGGTTTGCGCGCTAGAGGCTTTCACGATGCTATGGCTCAACAGGGCCAGCTGGCACAGCAAGTCGATTTAGAGGATGGCGTTTTCTTCTAGACTCGTGCAAGTCTACTTGTATGGTATTCCCCCCCCCGGCCCCCTTCGCCGCTTCTTCAAGCAGCGCTGGGCCGAAACGGCGTGCGAGTGAGTCCCGACTTGCGTGAGCTCCAGAATTCCTTTCGGGCCTCGCCACGCCCCCCCCCCCCATGCAGGGAGCCTTGCCAGAACCCGGAGAAGAACTGCCTCCCAGTGGCCCGAAGCGGGCTTCCAGAGGCCGCAAAGACGAAAGAGACCGGCGAGATGGCACAGGTCGCGCTGTCGGAGGGCTGGGTCCCCGGAGGTCGTCGCAGGCCTCGCGAGGTGTCCGGGAGGCCTCCAGGGGCCCCCGGGGGCCCAAGCAGGGGCCAGAGACGCCCAGGCATCTCTCAAGGCCCTCGTCCCCCCTCCCAGAACTTGAGTCCCAATCGCGGTGTTCTTCCTCAAGTCCAGCCTCCGATTTTTTGTTCTGGCCCCAGGACAGTCAAACATACCTCTGGGGAGGTGGTCGAGAACGTCGGGGCCACGGATTCAAATAATCACGTCGTCGGATGTCTGGGATCTTCTCAGGTTGCACGAAAGGGAATATCGGGAAAGGGGGGGGGTACGAAAATTGCTGCACGCAGCTGTTTTTGTTGCCCCGCCGCTGGGCCTTTTCCTTGATACATTTGGTCGCAATGCAGCTGGGGAAGCCAGCTGCATACAGCTGCATGCAGCTTATTTGCCAACCGCCCTTTGCTATCCCCCCCCTTTCGCCAGGGGAGGCCTGACCGAACCCTAGCAGACCGATCCCTTCCGTGAGGACCTCCTCGCCTCGCTGCAAGACGTGGGCAGGCGTCCAAAGGGCAGCCTCGAGGCTGAGGGGGTCGTGACGGAAGGCCAGAGGGCGCCCAGCTATACACCCACAGCGATCCTGGGCCCGTATGGGCCTGGCTAGGATCGGTGTCGGTGCAGAGTGGGCGTTCTCGTAATAGAAGGGGCTCGTCTCGGAAGGGGTCGGTGAGGCCGCGCGTCCGAGTGCGTCCGACTCGATCTTCTTCCATCCCCTCTCATCCTTGATTCTCCGTCCTTCGATCCCCCATCCTCGATCCTCCATCCCCGTTCGGGCCAGGCCGCAGATGCTCTCGGGGCTGCTGCGCGCCGCGTGGGACGAGGCCGCCCCGAGGCGCCGAGGCGCCAGGCGCCTTCTTTTTTTGGTTGTCCTTGCGGATGATGCCGGGTGTGTTCTGTGCTGTCATTGGGTGTGGCTATTTGCGCGGATGAGCACAGACTTCTGTACGTTCATCTGCATAGGCATTCAGGTATGTGCGTATATCTACACGTGGTGTATTATCTAATGGCCTCTGGCCCATCCCGCAATCGTGTCGGGATGATGAGCCTGAAGCCTGTGGGATGCTCGTCGGTATCTCGTGAGAGGCCTCTCGGGGGCCTCTCGGAGTGAGTATGTACATTCAGATTCATAGACATTCAATTGTATAACATTGTATACATGGATATCTGTATATATATATATATATATATTTATTCCCTACCTAGGCTCTGCCTAGAAGGGTTCTTACTCTCTAGCTTAAAGGGGCCGGGCAGTGGAAAGCGCCCCGGGCGGTTCCCCCAGTCCCCGCCCCGCGGTTCCCCCAATCGCGCCCCCTTAGCTTAGCTTTGCTTATCTCATATTAGCTTAGCCTAGCTTAACTTAGCTTAGCTTAGCTTTGCTTAGCCTGGCCTGGCTTAGCTTAGCTTAGTTTAGCTTAGCTTAGCCTAGCCTAGCTTAGCTTAACCTAGCTTAGCTTAGCTCAGCTTAGCTCAGCGCAGCATTAGCATAGCATATCATATCATAGCATAGCATGCCAAAGCATAGCATCGCATAGCGCAGCACAGCGTAGCGCAGCATAGCCCAGCATAGCATAGCGCAGCATATCATAGCATAGCATATCATAGCGCTGCATATCATAGCTTAGCTTAGCTTAGCATAGCACAGCGCAACATAGCATAGCATATCATAGCACATCATACCATATCATAGCATAACAAAGCATAGCACAGCGCAGCATATCATATCATAGCATTGCATAGCATAGCATAGCATAGCGCAGCATAGCATAGCAAAACAAAGGCAAGGCAAAGCAAAAGCAAAACCAATGCGAAAGTGTAGATGTAGATGTACATGCAGGTGTAGGTGTAGGTGTGGATGTAGGTGTAGATGTAGATGTAGATGTAGGTGTAGATGTAGGTGTAGATGTAGATGTAGATGTGAGTCTTGCTGTTGATGTTGATGTAGATGTAGATGCAGGTGTAGATGTTAATGTAGCTGTCGGTGTAGATGATGCTCCAACTCCTAGGTAGGGTCGCACTGGGATAATATATATGCCCGTCTGTCTGTCTGTCTGTCTGTCTGTCTGTCTGTCTGTCTGTATGTATGTATGTATGTATCTATGTGTGTGTATATGTATGTATGTATGTATGTACGTACGTATGTATGTCTGTATGTATGTGTATGTATGCATGTATGTATGTATGTATGTATGTACGTACGTACGTACGTATGTATGTATGTATGTATGTATATATGTATGTGTGTGTATATGTATATATGTATGTATTTGCGTATCCATATACATATACATATATATATATATATATATATATGCACGTATGTATGTATGCATGTACGCATGCATGCATGTCTGTCTGTCTGTCTGTCTGTCTGTCTGTCTGTCTGTCTGTCTGTCTGTCTGTATGTGTGTGTATGTATGTATGTATGTATGTATGTATGTATGTATGTATGTATGTATGTATGTATGTATGTGTATACACGTATGTATGCATGTATGTTTGCATGCACGTATGTATGCATGTATGTATGCATGCATGTTTGTACGTACGTGTGTATATGTGCATATATGTATATATGTATGTATGGGAATTCCGTATGTTTGTATGTTCCCCAATCAGAGCTTGCCTCTGTAGGGGTCCTAGCGGATTCATTTGGTTAGGTTAGGTTTGTCGCCGATTTTCGCTGCACGCCGGGGTGCCCGGGGGTTGCCCGGGGCCCGGGTGCCTGGGGAGTGCCCAAGGGTGCCTGGGGGCCCGGGTGCCCGGGTGCCCGGGTGCCTGGGCGTGCCCAGGGGTGCCCTATAGCCCTATAGCCCTAAGCCCTATAGCCCTATAGCCCTATAGCCAAATAGCCCAATAGCCCTATGGCCCTCCAACTCTATAGCCCTATAGCTCAATAGCCCTATAGCCCTTTTGGCCCCTAGCCCCATTTTTTTTGAAATATTATCTTTTATCTCCGGTATCATATGCATGTATGTCGGTATGCATGCATGCATTTTTTTTTTTTTTTTTTTTTTTTTTTTGTTTTTAAAATGTATGTATGCATGGTCGTTTATATGTATGTATGCATGCATGTGTGTATACACGTATGTATGTATGTACGTATGCATGTATGTATGCATTCATGTATGTTTGTATGCATATAGTTGTGTATGCATGTATGTATGTATGTATGTATGTATGTATGTATGTATGTATGTATGTATGTATGTATGCATCGATGCATATATGTATTTCTGCATGTATATATGTATGTACGCATATATGGGTGTATGCATATGCTTATGTAAGACTGTATGTATGCACATATGCATGTATGTATGTATGTACGTACGAACGCAGTTATGTATGCATGCATGCATGCATGTACGTATGTATGCATGTATGTATGTGGGCATGTCTGTGTATGTATGTATGCATGCATGGTTGTATGTATGTATGTAGGTATATATGTGCAATTATGTATGCATGTTCGTATGCACCTATATATGTATGTATATATGTATGTATGTATGTATGCATGTATGGATGTATGTATGCATGTCGGTAATTATGTAGATATCTATGCAAACCTGTTTGTACGTATGTACATGTAGCAGTGTATAGGTATGTATTTATGTATGCATGTAGGTAGGTACAGCTGTCTTCATGTATATAGGTATGTATTTGTCTCTGTCTGTATGTATACATGCATGCATGCATGCACGTATGTATGCATGCATGCGTGTATACATGTATGTATGTATGGATGCATGCATGCATGTATGTTTGTATGTCTTTGTGTATATACACATACAAGTGGCACGTGTGTGCCCAGGCTCATACAAACAACTGAAGGGGCGTTTGAAGCAGGAGTGAAATGCAACAGCGAAGTCACACTCGAGCGCAAGTGGGGTTGCCACACCTTGCGATGTGTGTACCAGGGCCCCCCAGGAAGCCTCAGGAGGCCCAACTTGGATACCAGAAGAGGCTCCAGGAGGCCCCAGGATTGTGAGTGGTGTGTGTGTGTGTGTGTGTGTGTGTGTGTGTGTGTGTGTGTGAGATTTGTTCTGTGTTGTGCGTGCTTTTTGTGCGTTGTAGGTGTTGTGTGTGTGTGTGTTATGTTTGTCTAGCGTGTGATGTGTTGGGCGTGATTTGTGTCTCTGTGTGCATGTAGTTCTGAGGCCCCAGGAGGCCCCAGGAGGCCCCAGGCGGCCTCAGGAGGCCCCAGGAGACCCCAGGAGGCTTCAGGAGGCCCCAAGAGGCTCCAGGAGGCCGCAGGAGGCCCCAGGAGGCCCCATGAGGTTTCAGGAGACCCCCAGGAGGCTTCGAGGCGGGGTCTGGGGTACCAGAGGGTACGTCGGGGCTCGATTTTGGGAGGATGTTTCAGGCGAAACCGCCATTCTCTGAGAATCGGGGTCAAAATTATTGAAGTTACCATGTGTTTTTGAAGGTTTTATGTTAAAACGTTGAAATTCCCATGTCTTTCTGGACCCTGACGTCACGATCTGCGTCAGGGGTGCCACCGATTTTTAGAATTTCGAGGATGCCCCTAGCGAAACGGCCAGACAAATCGCGGACGCGGCGCCCCGCGTACGCATTCGCCTCTGAGTTCTACTCCCTCGGATAGGTGCGTATGATAACATAATGTATATATATATATATATATAAATATGTCTATATGAATACATACACACACATATATATATATACATATATATATATATATATATATATATATATATGTGATCCCGGGCTCCGGGCCCACGGCCCCCCCACCACCATATGGGATGG